GCTCTGGGAAGTGGAATAGTGAATCCAAATACCTCGACAGCGAGATTGCTACTGGTGTGGGGGCATCGTGCCCCATACGATTGACACAGGATTTTAGGTTATTAAGAATCGATACGAGCCAGTTCAACCGTCTCCGTGATTACACCATATTGATCTTGGTTCTCTCTTTGCAATCACTCGTTTGTTCTCTTACACTGAGTTAAGATTTATGCGTATCTAATCGCATTTCGTGTGGACGATATTTAGTCGCACAATATGCGGGGCTCACATTGTAATGCCACATTCTTTTCCTATCCCAATGAACCCAGATATTGGGAAAGCTTACGAAATCTGGTCGGGAAATTGCTCAAATCCGTGAGATCCGTTGCCAGTCTGCTGTTGCTTTTGTCCATTTTTATTCTCATCTGTTCGCTGCTGGGCATGCAACTATTCGGTGGTCGGTTCAACTTCATCACTCAGGACAAACCGCGAGCTAACTTTGACGGTATTTTACAGGCAATGCTGACAGTGTTTCAGGTGAGTGGTGAAATTTATACAAAAATTAAACCCCTGTTGCTCGTCATAATCGCAGACACAGTTGTTAAAGAGGTGTATGGCATGAATATGGCCAAACGAAACTTGTTTCGTCGTATTTACCCTACACATACACACACACGCCGCTATTGTCCACGCAAACGAAGTTCAGTCAATCGATTAGTTAGGGACTTTGTTTTTTTTCTGTTACAGATCCTCACCGGCGAAGACTGGAACGAGGTCATGTACAACGGTATGCGCGCCTACGAAAACAGTCACTGGTACGCAGTGGTCGTGGTCTACTTTATATTTTTGTTCATTGTGGGCAACTGTATCCTTTCTGGAACTACTATTTATGATTTTCCCTGCCGGTAGCTATTTCCAATCGATTTAAAGCATGTCCCGCGGTTTTACATTTTGATACACTGCAGTCATTTTTTTCTAAAAATCAACACTCAATAGAACTATATATTTCCGTACGAGTGCATTGAATAGCGGTATTCGCCTTTTGGAGAATCGCATTACAGATTTTCCGGTCCAGTTCTGTCTGAAAAGGATGATCGAAAGTTACTACAAAGTGCAGAATTGTTCCAACCTCTAGCCATCGATGTTCATGGGGATTTGGAATGTGTGGGTTTCTTCCAGAGATATTAAGCATGTACAAAGGACACCTTTGAATGTATTGTGAAGAGGGTCACGAAGAAAATTTCACAATTGTATGTGACGCAGCGTCAAATGCGTGTGGGGAGTCAATCAAGCTCACTTCAAAGAAGGTGGACATACCAACTCACTTTCCGGGAGTGGTCATTTCGGTCAAATGTGAAAATATTGCTTCACCGAGGGGATTGTTCTATCCATTGTTCACCAAGGTGAATTGGCCTTACTGAAGTTCAGATAATCACCTAATCGTTATGTGTACCTTTTTTCGCACAATCATGTAAATGAGCGCATAAAGGAGGAGGGGAATTTTGGTGCCGATTCCATTCAAGCATAACCACACGGTTGGCTTAGACATAAATATAGGACATTTTTGGCTGCATTAACAAGGGAATATTCAGCGTCAAAGCAGTGTGCTCCTCAAGACAAAAATATTTCTGTTTGTCGGGGAAACATGCACAAAAAATATTTACAATGTAAACTGGGAGATGGGAATTACTTCAAACCGAAAAGTTGGTAGAAGTGATACACATGATAGAAAATGATGAACGAATGATATGACAGAGGTGTGTAGCGTACACACGTTGTGTTTCTCAGGAACTGATGATTTCAAAGATAATTAATTATGAAATGTGCCCCGACTCAAAAGTGAAACATCTATTGCTTATTCACCTACAATCTAATGCACCAGTGCTTTGTCATTTTCGGGTCTAAAGATTCGTTGGATGTAATCTTTTCAATGTCCAGATCCCCTATTTCACCAAGGTTTCCTGCAGCGTTTACTCCCATCAGTATTGATCACGATTCAATTGTAGTACACACAGATTTGCCCTGAAAACCCAAATAAATACTAGTTCGGTACACACAATGTCCACGAGTCTATTTCCGTAACTTGAGCACCTCTTCCGTTAGATATTCTACTGAACGTCTTCTTGGCTATCGCCGTGGATAATCTGAATGATGAGGATGACGACGAAGATGACGGTAATGGTGGGGAAGATGAAGAACAGAACGAACAGGGGGATCAACCAGCCTTGGAAAATGGAAAAGAAGCAGAAACCAAAGGGAATGAGACCGAGGTCACGAAAGACGAGAAAGCGAAGTAAGCACCTGAATGTTTCTGGTTATTTTTCGAAAAAATGCGAAAGGAGCCAATTGGCTTTCTTGCACATCGTCTTTCGATCCATTTGGAATAAAAATGAACAAGTTAATTTTGAATTTTATCATCCCAAGTAAGGAGTTGTTTTGGTGGTTGAACTTTTGTGTGTTTCTGTGTATGAACGGCATCCAGTATTCTGCAAGGTCTCGTACATATATTATACCAATAGTCTGTAGGAGGATTAGATCATGACACTGGATATCAGCGTATCTCCTATTCAAAGATTTCTAAAGATCATCAAACGGCCTGATAATAGAAGTCTATCAGGCTAAATCCGATGAGGATTTTGGTTGATTCCTGTTACCGATGATTTACTCCGAACCAAGAATGGTAGCGGCATTTCTATTAACTGAATTATTTAGGGTTGTTCGGATGCGAAGCCTCCAATTTTGAGTTTTACGTCTTAAGTGCCTGTTTTTAACTTGTCTTCGGTGAACTATTGCAGTCGTATTTAGACGGTGAATGTTTGGGTTATACTGCAGTCCTGTTTCACATCGATCAAAGTGAGCTTTTGTTTATTGCTCTAGTGGCTTGTTATTTTGGTCTTCCGTGTGCTCCTACTGAATGATTTGTCAGTACTAAAAACAGTAATGCGAAACAATCCTGAAGGTTACCGTGGCTTGATAGCTGTTGATACAGTCGACCAGCATTATCAAATTGTTGAACTATTTGCCCTTAGTGTCAATGAAAAAGATAACTAAGAACATGATCATCTAGTCGGTAAATGACAGTTTAAACCAAATGAAGGATTTTCGAAATCATCTCTTACCCTGAGTTTCTACGGCAAAAGATTAGTTTGAAAATCGTTGAGTTTTTCGGTGTTTACCAACTTCAGACACTCGTGATTTCATGATCACTGACGCAAAAGAAAGCTGAGTGCTTCATCGTCGGTAAAGATCGTTACTAACCCAAAATCCTTTGTTTTATTTAATTTGAAAATAAGTAGATTTTTTCATTTACCACAAAACTAATTATTCACTAGACAGCAACTGGACTTACTATAGCAATTGTAATCTTTTTCCTGCCACTGATTTCGTTTTATCCGCTATTTTCAGCCATGTCGTAGAGACGAAGGCTCTTACCACACCAGGTATGCTTCCGCGATTCAGCATAACATTGAGAACCATTCTCTGTATTCATTTATCTCTCCTGTTTATCATCCGCAGCAATAAGTACTTGACTCTGACTAGAAAGAATTGTTTTTCTTCAGGATATAAAACAATACCTTCATGCTACACATGATTTTTCAATTGCTGTTCAGTGACTGCAGAACAAACAGCCACATGTCTAATAGGATTGCATTTATCAAAAACAACAGTTATCCAATTTTCTTACCGAATAGGATATTGCTTTTGTCCGTTCGTCTATAGTACCACCTATTTTTTGTCCCCTGATTATTTTAACTAACATTCAGCTTTCTATTAACAGAAATCGTTTATTCTTATGAAAATGAGATGAGAGTATGCTAAGTGTCTTCCAATATTATAAACCGATTTGCGGTTATTGCTTCTCCACCATTCCTCGGAATATTGGATTTCAAACGTTCAGTGCCGTAACTGCGTTCGTTTTTACGCATCTTAGCTTCGTTAAACCATGTGGCGCACGGAGACCGAAATCCTCACCAGGTGAACGCAGATGTCGATCACAATAGTATTTCCCTTTTTTACTGATCTGTTATTGTAAATGTTGAATGTGCAACAAGCCAGTCAATCTGTTTTGCAGTTAGGCCAACTGGTACTCAAATATGTTAGGTTTTACTTTCTTTTAATTCACTCTACACCCAGTGGCACGATCAATTTTCTTGTGGGAGGATGCCGAGGTAATTGAGGAATAGGGTTGTTTGGACAGTGTTGATGAGATCCGAACAATCGGCCCTCAATTCGATGCTATCCTGACATTTGCCACTTTGTCATTGGCGGTCGTGCCAATGCCAGTTGGAGTTTTTATGAAAAAGGATAATCTTATACCATTATTCTCTTTATGGATATCTCCGTTGAATTAATTTTGAGAGTGATTATGAACGAAGCTGACGTCTATGACGTATAGTTACTTATTATTCTATCTTTAGATTGATGGCAAACGGTTAATGCAAACCATCATTCAGTCATCTGGGATTTTCTACCCTCTAAGCCCATCCTCGTAGCTCGACGTTCTTATCTACTCATCAGAGGCCTTTAATTGGTCGTAACTACTTCCTGCACAGGAGTAGTAGTTCCTTTATTGCACAACATTTAACCGATTAAGTAAAAATATTACCTGATTTAAATCGTACATGATAAAAAGAATATGCTAACACAGAACTCGTTTTCATTTTATTGTTCTGCCATGCGGCCTAGACGAAGGACAAACATATGAGGAAATGTTTCCCGAGACTGACATCTACGGGGATGAAGGTGAAGAGGAAAACGAGGCGAACCAAGATGATCAGAAAGAGTTCTCACCCCAAGATAGTCGTACAATGCCACCGTATTCAGCATTCTTTATATTCTCTGACACGAACAAGTGAGTAATCTGTTCTTCCTGTTCCTTCATCCATATCCCAGTTCAGTTCGCGGATGCAATTCCTGATGGTGTTTTATGAATAAAAGGCCACGATAAATTGTTTTTCAAGTGCTAACGGTTTAGCTGTTAATACAGCAGCAATAACCACATTCTGAGTAAACTGACAGCGAACTGGGTTTCGTATGTGTCACTGGTCAGTCGAGACTGTTGAGTTTTAGTTTAAAATAACTCATTGGGGATGATTATCACTTTGGTCGGACTTCGTCGTCCGATTATGTAAATTAGTTGCAAATCTCAAACTCACCATTGACCAAATGAACAAGAACTCACATTTAGCTCACCTTTAATTGTGAGTAGCAGTGCGGGATAAATCGAAAAATCCTAATTTCATGCAGTCTACTGTACATTCATGAAGCACGAAACTCGCATTTTTATCCAAATGGGGCTAGCTTGTAGCCACGATCCCGTCCGGGATCCCGTCACCGAACCCTTTGCATAGAAAGCCTGACGATGTATCCAAAAGGTAACAAGCCACCTCAGAGTAGTGAAGTCATACATCACCTTCAGCATCCATTGAGGTTTCTCACGCATACCATTCCGATTGAATTTCACACAGGTTCCGTATCTTCTGCCACAATGTGGTTTGTTTGTCACATTTTGGAAATATTGTCTTGGTGTGCATCCTGGTGAGCAGCATTCTATTGGCTGCAGAAGATCCGCTCAATGCAGGATCACAAAGGAATAAGGTAAGTGTTTGAGACAATCACATTTCGCTAGAGTTTGCGTTCTTTTTGAGTTTGTACAAAACAGTTATGGACGATTCGTTCTGATTGTATAATGGAATTAATCTGATAAAAATTCAAAGGGACATGGAACTAAAATTTAAGTAAAACTGCGATTTATTTTTGTGTGTAATTAAAGTATATAGTTTGATGGACGGTTAAATCGATGGGTTATCGTTGTAATGGTTATTGGACTAGGTTAAAATAGCGCTATGTTGTCCTTCCAGTTGATCAGTTTATGCTCGATTTTCACTATATAAAATATATCTGTTGTCATTATGTGTCCGCGTTTCGTTGATTTATCAAAGTTACGGCTAGATTAAACTCTTTTTTAACACTCATAAATGAAAGCGGGTTTTGCGGAGAGCTCCAGTCTTACTTATTATTCATTGGTGTTCATTGCAATCGATCGTTCTTAATTCAATATTCGAAGATAATATCTCTTTATAGAATAAAGCAAAACAAAGCAGCATTTATAGTAAATTATGATACATTAGTAACTGATGAAAGAGGTAAACATGCATACCCACTGGCAATTTCCCTCGCGTTGTTCTCGTCCGAGGATTGAGCAAAATTTGCAGGAGGAAGTTGTAAAACTCATGAATAGTGGTAAAACAGAAACTCTTTAGATTCACCATATATGCAGTACACCGGATAATGGATATTATTTGTTCCAAACACGCATAACTTTGTTGTTGGTTTTTATTTTGAAAACACGTATTTGAGTTTAGTACGTTTTCTATCGTCTGTTACTTCCCTTCATTCTCAACTGAAGATGAGACTTTTAACTTATTCATAAAACCAATGAACATTTTCCGCAATTCCAGATTTTGAATATGTTCGATTACTTCTTTACAAGTGTTTTCACGGTGGAAATTACACTTAAGGTAAGTAGTGTGCATGTTCAATCAAAATCACTCTTCTTATGCACAAAACTTCAATAGCGACCAGTCTACCCAAAGGCAATTCGTTTCACAAACTTTCCCCAGATTTTCTGAAAATTTCTTTTCCTTTCTCCTGGTATAAACTGTCGCGGTCACATTAGAGCTCTTCAAAAGTTACACCTGGTGGTTGTGGTGGAAAACTTACTTAATCGGGTGGCTGAAAAATAGGGCTTTCACTCACTACTCTAAACTGCTACGGATTAAGGATTGTTCACCAAGCTGGCTGTATGATGCATCGGCCTTCATTTAATCATTGTGAAATTGAAATTTTCTGGGATATAGGAGAATGTGGATCTCGAAGATTCAGGTTTGGCCGCTGTCATGTTTCAGCTTGTTTTCACAGAAGTGTGCATCGAACTCAGTAATTTGGTTCAAAACACGTACTATGTGTGAGCATTTACTCTAGTTGCTTTCGTTTTCAATTCAGTACAATCAACCTTGATCAGCAAAACATTCACGATGTGGAACGATAGACTCAGACAGATAACTATAATCAATCAATCAATGCGGACAGGATAGGAGGTTAAGTACCATCATTCGTCTTTCTACTGCACGCCGATGTGTGTGATACACAAACGTTGATTACCCTCATTGTAAATCTATTAGTGAGTGGTGCAGTTGAGTTAATATTTGCAAGGGAAATTCCTTTTTTTTAACATCGCTCGTGGACCCAAAGCCGTAATATGATCGCTTCGATCTTCACTGCAGTGCTCGAAAAGTGGTTGTTTGTATCCCAGTTGGTAAAACCCGTAAACTACCGTAAATACGATTTCCATTTAAATCGAGGTTACTAACTCTTGAATGCGTGCGAGGGTAAAGCTTGACGCCACACCACACTGCTTTCCAAACCAAAGTGACTGCAAGTGATTAATTACGTGAGTACTCGAGCGAAATAAATGGCTGCATATGAGCACTTGACGGAATTTTCCGTCCTGCATAGATTTCGCGAGGGTAATACAACCCATCACAGGTACGAAATAGAGCAATGCATTATTTCGCCATTGATTTCTGTGTGACATAGTTCAGTTCAGTTCAGTTTTAGTTTGTACAGCAGTTAACCATGAACTTTCGTGCTCCGGTTTTGGTTGCTGTCTTTTGGCTGCTCATTTGGATGAAGAATAAGAGAAGACAGGAAAGCTGAAGGTAGAGTCGAACAGAAAATGGAGAAGTTCAATGATCTAAGTTTGCAAAGAAACTGTTTACGAC